ACAACGGACTTCGTGTATTCCGCTCCCCCGGAGTCCATGTGACGCCCCTCCCCCCCCCTCAAGCCACCACCCTCTACCACTACACCCAAACGCATGCTTGAGCAAGCCAAGGAGGGGCCTGGATGCACTCTAACTCGTGCTCCTGGGAGCGAGAGGAACCGGGTGTGTCCCGCCACATGATGATGATGAAATGAGAGCAACAAGGTCGCCGTCGGAGGATATAGTGGGCGGTTATTTTCGTTATAGTAAACAACAGATTCGACCCAGTTCTAGACGGAGCTGGAAAGCGCCAAGAATGACCTGCAGGCGAGACGGCTTTTGGCAACCACCCCACATATTCTCCCTCATTATAAACGCAGCAAAATAATGGAGCAATCTGCCGGAAGTAGTAGGCATGCCGTTAACTGAGTATACTCGCGGCGTGGAGGGGACGAAATTTGCCTTACGGAATATATTCGTCCCGAAACTGGGGTGGCCTATAGGGCGAGTGGTGAGCGATCGCCTACCCGGCAAGACAACAAACCCGAGGGCGTTGGATCTCTGACCGACAGGTCGTGAGGTCGAGCCCGGGACTGGCTAGTAAAAAATCGCTAATTCAGTGCCCCAGCTTGTTGATGACGTTATTCTGCAGCCAAAGTGCTCCTGATACCTACTCATTTGAAAAAAAGCGCGAAAGCTGTGGCTGTCTTTTGTGCTGAAGGGGCTGATTTGTTTCGCCGAAAGCTTTTCTCATCTCGATTTGAGTGCACACAAGATGAAGTAAACTGCGCCTGAAATATCGATTTCTACAGGTCACGCGCGTGAGCGCAATCGATAACCAATGAGATTTTGTGTTTACAGGCGGGAAAATACGTCCTATTGCAAGTCAACAGCCCTATATGTTTGGCAGTAAAGTGAATCTTCTTCAAAGTTTATACTTGAGGAAAGGGCATCTCGCGGTTTTAAAGAACTACATTGAATTATGAGATATTCTGCGATCAATAAAAGTATCTATAAAGCATTACCTCTTTCCATTTGGTATGGCTGCTCGTACAGTTTGCTATATCCTCCACATTCACTGCAAACATTTATAAGCTCGTTGATTACCGTTCACAAGTCATCGCTAACGGAATTCGCTCGTTTCGTTTTGCCCTGGAGGACTCAATCTCGAACCCCGCACGGTAGCTTGAGAAGATAGCATTGTTGGCAAAAGCTAGGGAGACTGAAATGTCCATTTCTGGCTTATTAGCCATCGCCAACCAGCGAAACCAAACCCCAAGTGGAACCCAACACGAGACTCGAACTCGTGGCCCTTTCCGATCAAAAGTCTAACGCTCGACGCATTGAGCCACTGGTTCGCTGTCTAGCCGATTTAGTTTGGGTGATATCGAAACTCGTTGATTAACGGTAACAGATCATCGTTCATGAGCTCTATGTCACGTGTTATTTACGGGACAACCTTGAATGTAGACGTTATAGCAGGTAAAATTCAACTATATTCAGGAATTTAAACAATTATTTTAACCGAAAGATACCCTTCCTTCAAATATAAAATTGAAAGGTGTTAGTTGCAACCAAATGAGTACGGGAAATAATTTTTATGTATGCATTCTATAAAATATATTTGAAGATCTAAAGGCGCTGAACACGATTGCGAGAAAAACGATACTACTCAGTGACTCATGGTCCGCCGAGTATAATTTTTGAAGATAGTTGGGAAGAAAATTGTTCCTGCCGTGACTTAAATTATACTCCATTATGCTTAATTTTGTGATATTTCACATCGGCAAAGCCAATTTAAGACTTTACGTTAACATTTCATGAGACAGACCACCTATTGGACTGGAGCGCTGGAAGTTGGGGTGTTTACATAAAACACAATTACGTTGAGACATCCATGCATCTATTTATCCCCTTGACATCAACCCCAAAAATACCGCAACTACTTAAATCGGAG